CCTGCCTTGGCTTCACAGAGTGCTAGGATTACTTCCGGCTCTAATAGTCCATTTTAATTTACAAATCAGAAAATTAAGGGAAGGAGCCATTGGATGGGTAAAGATGGGGGGGGGTGGTAGCCATAGAGCCAACAGAGTAACACCAGGTGGTGATGAAAACGAACATAATAGTGCCGAAAGGCGGCTCACTTCCGGGTTTTCCTAGTGGAGCTTGACACTGACCTCCTTATGTCAACCACTAGATGGCGCCAGCTCCCCAGGCAAGCAGAAGGTATGCTCCAACCGGCTCAGCCTCTGTTGATCCTCCTACCTGAGTTCCTCCCACCCAGGGCTGGCTCTCTGTGAACCCAGTTGCTGTGCCAGTGCCCAGATGGCATGATACCTGGGCTAGAGGGAATAGCTTGCTCCAACAGCGTAACTTCTCTTGGTGCCAGAGACAGGATGGAAAACAGACCTTGACCTGAGCATTGGCCAGCACTGCCCTTTCTCCCAGAGAGCCCTGACACAGACTGCCCTGTGCTACCTCTTCACCGGGAGCAAGACTTTGGCCAGGCTGGCAACTGCTGATTTTGTTGGTCCAGGCAAGGTGGGGAGGGTGGCACTTGTCCCACTGCATCCTCCAGCTACCTTACCACCCTAGTTGGCAGGTGCTCACCCAGTAGTTGGTAACTTCAGTCCTGCTGGCCTGACAAAGCTCCTTTGGGGGCCATTCCTGGCTCCAAGTGGGAAGCTGCTCCCGTTCCTACTGTGGAGACTGCCCCATGCCTCCTGTTGTCTTAACTCCGCCAGCCTCAGCCAGGGGTCTACCAGAGCAGTGCCAAGATGATTCAGCCCCTCTTCTGTACTAGGGAGACACTGTTCTGGGTATCTGGAAGGTAATGGTGAAATGGATGCACACAGTCCCTAGGAGCAAGCGTGGGGGAACAGATGTTATCCTCGTATTATCAAATGAGGATAATAATTATCAATAATTATTTAATTGTTTATTTGTGTTTCTAACATTGCAGTTTCAGTCAATTTCTAGAACTCCTAGAACGTCAGAGGAAAAAGGAACTGAGAAATAATCCTACCATAACCCACCACCACCACCATTTCAAGATTGCAAGTTTCCAGACTTACAGCCCAGAGCTCGTTTACTTTACTCCGGAGCCACAGGCTCGGATGGGGGTGAGGAGGGAGGAGGGAGGAGGGAGGGTTCTGGAGGCGGGGGTTCTTGAGAAAGGTGGACTCTTTGTCTCGGTTGATGAATGAATGAATGAACCCCTGAGAAGGGTCTTGCCTGACGTTGGACCTTCTCTGTGGTTAGTTGGAGGGGACTCCAAAACAGGCCCCATCCGCCTCCCCCGCTCCCATCCTGGGAGGGGAGCCGGCCCGCCTAGTGCCCTTCCTGCCCCCAAACGCCGCGGGCTCTTCTGGCGCCCTCTTGGCAGCAGAACAGAGGGCACCCAGAGCGGGTGGCAACTCGCCCCGCCAGGGGCTTGGAGCGGCGGGCAATGGGCGCTGGGGGGACGCGGAGATAGACAGACAGATAGCGCTCCCCTCGCCCGCCCCCGCCCCCACCTTTCCCACGCGGCGGCCTCCCGGAGCGGCCCGGACCTGCGGGTATCCTCTCCTGCCCCTCGGCCTGCGGGCTGTGCCCTCTGTTTCCGCCAACGGCAGCTCTCATAGCCCTTCGAGCCTCCGGCAGCCTGCTGCGGGAGTTTGACTTTAGAAGGGGACACAGAACCCCCTGCACACTTCTATGCCTGGCAGTGTCACGGAGTAGACCCTACCGGTCTCCTTTGCGAAGTGCCAGACTTGCAGAACCCAGGAGTAACCACTAGGTGGCGCGCTGGCACTGTGGGTCTTCGCCGCGTTCGCAAGGCCAGGCAGGGCAGAGGGACAGGAGCATAGAGCAGGGAGCTAGGAACTGAGTTTGGAGGAGCCTTCCCTCCCCCAAGAAAGGCGAGGAGCAGCAGGTGTTGAGAACAACTAGGATGACCTGGGGGCCTGGCCTTGGGGGCCAGACAGAACTAGCACGTGGGGGGTCCCCAGGGAGGGGAGGAGGTTCTTCAGGGCTTTTATAGGGGAAGGAGTTGTATTGGAGCATCACTGCTCCCAGCCAATAAGGGAAGGTACTGAATGGTCTATACACACCTGCATACAACTTCACAGTCACACACAGACGGCCTTCCACTCACACTGCCTTATACACACTGCCACACTTTCTCACACACACTCTTCTGCACTCATATCTGTGTATACTGTGGAATGTATGAGATCCTCACATCACACACCCCAAGTACAGGCATCCTGTGCACCTGATCCCTAAAAATGTCCACCCTTCCCAGTGCTGTCCCACCATAGAGTCTGCCCCCAGACATAAAGATGCACACAGCCATAGAGCCAGCCTGTGTCCCACCCAACCACATGGGGGCCCCAGGTCCCTTGCTCCCTGTAACTGACCTAGGCGGTCTCTGAAACTGCAAAATCAGTTTTGGAGATAGCTCTGGTATCACCAGACAGGCTGTACACATCCTGTAAATCCACAGAGGCCTGCCCCCTCCCATGGCCCTTCTCCAGTAGACCCCTCTCCCCCACCTCCCAGGTCCAAATTATGTCTTTCATAGGCCCAAGGCACTTTTGCCTGGTGGGCTCCTTCCTTCATCAGAAAATTTTAGATTGCATTTTATGACATTGCTATAAAATATCATATAGTCAAACATTTTCCTCCACCTAAAAGTTGTTTTTCTTTTCTTCTGATTTTAGGAGAAATTAAAACATTTTCATGGGCCCTGGCTACCCAGGGCACGTTTGTCTGGCTGTCATTTACATACCACACATACACACACAATCTTAGACCACCTCCTTCTACAAACACCCAATGGGCAAATTCTCCTCCCTCTCCAGCCCACCCCCATCGCACCCCCTACCCCCACAGCCAGAGAAGCAGACAGACTGACAGATCTGGAGGCTCTTCAGGAGGAGAGCAAGGAGGGGAGAGAGAGAGAGAATGAATTAGTTTTGGGTAACAACAAAGAATGAGGGAGAGAAAAGAGGGAGGAGAGAGGAGAGAGAGAGGGAGGGAGAGAGCGAGCGAGCGAGAGCGCAAGAGCATGTTTTGCCTGGAAGGCAAGACTTACAGCCAATCAGCGCGTAGGAGCCTCCCTCTACGACTCCTCCACTTTTGAGTCTATAACCGGCTGGCCGGGCGGAGCAGCCAGCATTTGACTGTGACTTGGGACGCGAAGAGAGGCGCGCAGTGACCGCCGCTGGACAGCCGGCGATGGTGTAAGCCTCCCCCTTCCGCCTCCCCTCCTCCGAGACGCTGCCTGGCTCTCCCCTCGCCCTCTGGACATCTACCCCTGCCTCGTCTCCTCCGCATCCCCTGCGCTCCAGTCCGCTTTGGCGCTGCTCAGCGGAGGCCAACCCTAGGGAGGTGCAGCGCCGGCCAGGATGAGTGGTTCCTTCGATCGCAAGCTCAGCAGCATCCTCACCGACATCTCCAGCTCGCTTAGCTGCCATGCGGGTTCTAAGGACTCGCCCACCCTGCCAGAGTCTTCTGTCACTGATCTGGGCTACTACAGCGCTCCCCAGCACGACTACTACTCCGGCCAGCCCTACGGCCAGACCGTGAATCCCTACACCTACCACCACCAGTTCAATCTCAATGGGCTTGCAGGCACGGGTGCTTACTCGCCCAAGTCGGAATATACCTACGGAGCCTCCTACCGGCAATACGGAGCTTACCGGGAGCAGCCACTGCCTGCCCAGGACCCAGGTCAGGACCATGGGGATTGCTGGGAGGGTGGGAGACACTGGAAGATTCCCGAAGTGGAGAAAGGTGGGGACTAGAAACGGTAATCTAAGGACAGCTTGAGGGTAAGAAAAGCAGTGCTTGGGGTTAGAGGAGGTGGGCCAGGTGACCTTCCAGCCCTGGGCATGTAGGCATTCGGGACATGGTATCTCTGTGCGCTGCGGTCTTCGGTGAGGATCCAGGTCAGCTGGGAGAGGGAGAAGAGGGCTGCGGATTGTCAGGAAACTTCCTAATAGAGGTGATTTCGCGGGCACTCCAGATC